CGAGGTTCACAAAGCGCTGCGCCTGCCACGAAATCTGCACATGGAGGTTCACAAAGCGCTGCGCCTGCTACGAAATCTGCACATGGAGGTTCACCAAGCGCTGTGCCGACCATGATCCGAGCATGATCCGAGAATGACCCGAGACCGTCTCGCACACGTCGTTCCGCAAAGCTTGACTTGCCAGCTTCGGAGCCACCGTTTCTATTGAAAAACACAGCATTTCGTGCGTCCGCTATCTCTCGAAAACGCATTTTGTATTGCGCCGGCCACGAAATCTGCACCTTGAGGTTCACAAAGTGCTGTGCCTGCCACGAACTCTGCGCATGGAGGTTCACACAGCGCTGTGCCTGCCACGAAATCTGCACATGGAGGTTCACAAAGTGCTGCGCCTGCCACGCAAACTGGAGCTAGAGCTTTTGAAACTAGAGCTACCTGGAGCTAGAGCTCTTGAAACTAGAGCTACCTGGAGCTAGAGCTATTGAAACTAGAGCTACCTGGAGCTAGAGCTCTTGCAACTAGAACTACCTGGAGCTAGAGCTATTGAAACTAGAGCTACCTGGATCTAGAGCTCTTGCAACTAGAGCTAACAGGAGCTAGGGCTCTTGAAACTAGAGCTAACTGGATGATGAGTGGTGTATGATGAGTGGTGTATGATGAGCGGTGTATGATGAGTGGTGTATGATGAGTGGTGTATGATAAGTGGTGTATGATGAGTGGTTTATGAACAGTTCTTGAATGTCCGTAACACGGAAGTTTCGTACACTAAACTTCCTTTGACTAGGGGCTCCTGGCCATACTACCAGGAGCAAGGACGCTACTAGGAGCTCCTGGCATCGCTACTAGGAGCAAGGACGCTACCAGGGGCTCCTGGCATCGCTACTAGGAGCAACGACGCTACTAGGGGCTCCTGGCCGTACTACTAGGAGCAAGTAGCCACTAGTTACAAGAAGCTTCTTGTAAAAAAAGTAAATTAATGGAGGGAAGGAAAGAAGGAAGGAGTGCCTCAGCAGTGTGTCTTTCAGGTCACCTAGTGTGACTTATCCCACTCTGCTCACACTCACTGACGGTCCAGCATAGATGGGGACACCCACATCGACAAAGCCTTGCCTGAGCTGCTTGTACACACGTCATCGCGGTTCCATCACAAAACTCCCCTGAGCAAGCCTGATCTGTACAAAACGCAATTATATGCCCAACAAAGGAGAAACATCACAAGAAGCTACTAGTAACAAGAAGCTACTAGGGGCTCCTGGCCGTACTACTAGGGGCAAGTAGCTACTAGTAACAAGAAGATTTGTGATGGAACATCAGAGAGAGAGAGAGAAAAAAAAGAAAGTTCACTGTCTATCGCACTGTTTCCATCCCCCACATCCCCCCAGTTTGC